AAGGACACTCGGCTAGACCAGGAGAACTTGTAGCCGAGGGGGTTATTGGAGCATTCAGGCGCGGGAAGTCCACCGCAGTAAGAGAGGAAGGAGGTTATCTTTCCGCCGGCATCATGAACCTAGAACAAAATAACCGTTAAAACATGCCAAAATATATCAACTGATCTCACCAGTTACAAGAGATATTTACCTCAGAAATGGTCTTCACAGCGTAAAGATGATCAATGCCCTAATCCAACACAACGGGGTAAAACCGTATATCAGCCAACACAATTCGATAATTTAGAATCACAAGACTAGCATCGAACGCAGCATACAGGGTCAAGACCAATTTCATTCATAACCGTGATACCGGCCTCTTTGACCTCTTTCTCCAGCTCCATCATAGCAGGCGACACGTAAGACGTAGTGACGACATTCTTCTTGGTGCGAATCGCGCCCTTGATGACAGTTGCATGGTGCGTGTAAGGGATCAGGGACACGACAAGGTCGACTTTGGACAGCTCCGCATCGAGAGCAGCGCTGTCATTGACGTCGAGAGAAATAGCCTTTGTGTTCTTGATGCCCTGGCTAAGCTTCTTGGCACTCTCAAGCGTGCGGCACGCTGTTTGTTGGGTAGATTAATTAGCAGTGCTGCGTTCCCTATAATGGCGCGCAGAACGGTGTTCCGACAGGTGGACGCGGGGTTGATGTCTCTCTGGGTTGGGCGAACTAGCATTAGGGCACGAATATTAGTACATACCAACAGTAACCTCTATACCCGCATTGCTTAGGAGTTCAACAGTCGGCTTCGTAACTATTTAATTATCGAAAAGAGAACGATCTATGTCAGTGATTGTATTGTCAGGGGGGTTATTCGTGAGCTCTCGCAGTCCCTCTTTAGAACATAAAATAAACACCAGGGCCGGGTATAACGAACCGAAACCACTTCCTAACCTATATAACACGAACAAGAAATCAGTCTTCGTTGATAATATCCAATTGCAATCTCTCAATGGTTGAAAAAGCAGAAGTTGAAAATATGATATCTGGTGGGGGAGGTGACCGCGGGGCAGAGGAAATCTCAAGTGAGGGAAGGAGCAAGAGAAGAGAAGGGAACTTACAAGAGCACCTTGCGACCTTCAATTGGCTGCGACATTGTGAATATTATCTCTTTGAAGGATATAATACAATAATTATATGAAGTGTGAAGCTGATTATATCGATCTGAAGTGTAAGAGAGTGAACTGAGAGAAGAGTCGAGTTTGTCGCAATCTTCAAAATAAAAAGGGAGAGGATATTACCGGTTAGCTTAGTTCCGATCTCGGCCCGACGAAATATATAATCACGTGATAATAATGCAGCAAGATATGTTTATGAAAACACATCAGAAACGTAGTGAATTTAACACAGACTTGTCAATATATTTGATGTTGAGGCAAGATTTAGCACAACGGCCGTGCCCACGACACGAGCTAACTCCTCAACATCAAAGTGGATGTATCGCTGTGCCATTTCATGAACTTCATTTTGAATGAATCGGCCCACGTGTGAAACGAAAAAAAATTCATGGTCCAAATTCAGCACTGTATCAGATTAACACCGCTGAACTGCATGATTTCAGCAGTAGCAAACTTACCCGTCAGAGAGGAGGGAACAGGCTTGTGAATGACTTGAAGACATGATGCGGAATGGGATCTGGCAGATCGACAGGTGACACAGCGTCTACTGCGACTGATGATGCGAGACGTTTCAAGCATTTTCCCTCTGAAGGCGGACCAACATCATCATAGTCCGTACTGTATATACTCCATACAGGCACCGGATATTCGAGGCATCTACGTAGCGTAAGTTGGTCCGTACCTGTGGTACGGCGGACTACAAGTTCCAAGTGTGCAAGTAGCAACAAAGCTAATTTCTAGGCGCCAAGACACTAGTTACCAACCAACTCGGGGGCATTATAGGAGTTTCGCCTGAGCATCGCCAGGAATACCGCAAACAAGATGGCGTAGTTTGCTTCGACCATATTAGAGTCCAACACGATACGATACAGAGCTACAGTATTCTGCGAAAGAAGATTGGGTATACAGCACGTACCTATATATCTAGTGGGCTTAATTGCTGACCGTCCAGCAAGTTGTTCGAGAATGAGTTAACTGTCCAATGAACGCAAGGAAGGGGACAGTCCCATTGGGATTGATGGAATCTTTCTTTGATTGATGAAAAGACCCCAGGATCCTCTGAAATCGCATCCATGTTTTGGTTCACAGAGCTAGTAATAGAGTCTACTAGGGTCGTTGTAGGGAACACGAAGAGCTGGTAGCTAACCACTAACATGATATTATGACGCTATACAAAGGGTGCAGGAAACAGGGCGGATTAGGGGTATACTGGTCTATTTTTATGTAGAATGTGAGAAATAAATAATAGACAATGAGGCAACCGGTAACATCCAGCGATTGGCATATGGAGTAGACACAGCCGTGATATCACGAATCCCTCTCATGAAGCAAAAGCAAAAGCAGAGCAATAGGTGTAAATATAAAAACAAAGCGGTAGACTATAAATGCTTCGAAGATGAGGAAAGACCGATGGAAAAGAGAATCGCAACAAACCAGAACTCCATATCAAAAAACAGCAATTTTTTTAAAAAAAGGATGCGGCAAATATTCAGAATTAAAGAAAAATTAACAATGCAATTCCCGCAAAGGGGAGAGAACCAAAAAAAGAGAGTTAAAGAAGAACAACCCCCCCAAAAAAAGAGAGAAAAAAAGAGAAACTTATCTATCCTTAGACCTTGCGCGCTGCCTATGCGCCAGGGGGGAATATTCAGAACCAACTCCATTCGTGACTCCGTTGTGCGAACCACTGAACTCATCCTCATTGCTATCCTCTAGCTCCCCATTCTGGCCCCCTTGCTTGCGTACCCGCCATTGCCACTCCCACAGTACTGGTAAAAACGTCCACAGGTCAAAGCTCGGCCAAAGAATATCCAAGAACACAATCTCTGTGTTCTGATGGCACTGCCAGAGCATGAAGTCGCTCAGTCTCTCGACGCCAGAGGTTCGCACGAGGAGATCTAGGGGTGGACAGCCGGCAGTGAGCATGTGGTCGGTTAGGGTTTGCTGCGTAATGGTTTCTGGTGAGAGGAAGATAAGTTGGTCAGTGTTGGGAGGGTAGCTGGTGTATGCTTCTGGGATTATAGCAACTTTTTCTGCAACATGCGAGTGGTGATCTGTTGATGTCGTTGAGGTAGCGAGGGGGAAAGCGTCGGGGTCGTCGTTGGAACTCTTGGTCGCCCGTTTACCTCGTGGGCGCAATAACGAGGAATCCGTTCCGTGTCCGTTAACCATCCCACCCTCCTTCTGTATGCTCTCCGCGATGTGCGTTTCGGAAAAAGTGCGGCGTTGTCCATTCGACAATGGTAACTGTGTTCGGTCAAGAGGGGTGCTATATTCGATGACGGTGTTCCGGATCGCGGTCGTCATCTCGTCCCTAGACGTGTATGGGAAACAGATGTTCAGGATGGCATCACCATTTCGACTTGTAAGTTCAACAGCCTTATCGATGGCCTCCAGTACTTCAGGCTTAACCAAGTCCCGTCGACCCAAGACACGTACACTAGCACCGTAGCGATCTAGCAGGTCCCCATGTTGGGATAACTGGGCTAGCTTCACCCTTGCCATGTCCATCAAAGCATCCACCTCGTATTTCGACCTCTTGAAATTTTCGATACTGAAGGCATACACCGTTACCACCTTGACACCTGCTTTGTAGCACACTTCTAATATCTAACACAAGCGCGCAGGTGTTAGCAAAACGGATACAGAAAGTAATACTGCCTGAACAGCGCATATAAGAGTCCTCCACCGCCATCCAAAGCCCATACAAAACCGATAAGGACAAAAAAAAAAAAAAAAAAAAAAAAAAAAAAAAAAAAAACCAGACTAAATCACACAAAAGCCATACCTTAGCCAACGCCTCAAACCCCAAATTATGCCCCTCAACTTTCTCTATCCGATGATTCCTCGCAAACCGTCTATTTCCATCCATGACAAACGCCACGTGCTGTGGAATCGGCCCTTCTCTCAACGCCCCAATCAACAGTTCCCGGAGGTGTGACAGCCCCCACTCAATCGGCGGAGAGGAGAGAAGCCATCTCCGCAGTTTGGAAAGATGCATCGACGAGGCCGCCATGGGATAGATATGTAGGGGATACTGCGTTGGGGGAAAAGGGTGTCTCAGGGAACGAGGGCAGGAGGAGTTGGAGGAACGGAGGGCGAATCGGTTCGGCTTGTTTACGATGTATATGTACGGATCAGATGGCCTCCAGGAGAGGAGAACAGTTCATCGGCGGGGGACGGAGCGGTGAGAGCCCCAAAGCGGGGATCGGATAGGGGAGGGTTGAGCTGAGGAGGTGAAGTTGGGAGGACAGAACGGGAGGCGGGAATGGTTTGCTTTTGGTCCCGAAGGCGTTTTGGCTTTCTGGCGCTCTCTTGCCGACTCTATTTATTGTGTTCTCGTTGTTCCCCGTTGATTACGCAGGTGTAGATGTGTGTGTGTGTGTGTTTGTTGGGCGAGGCTGATGGGCAAAATCGCGACGAGCTCCTGAATTATGTTCTCCGGATCTCCCCAGGAAGTGAACCGCAAGAAGGGAACAACAACACTCGTAGTATACAAAAACACAACATCCGAGACGAAACCGAAGCGTCTCCGGAGAAATCCCCCCCAAAGGACAAAAAGAGAAGCGGTCTATGAAACCAGGCGGAAGTTGGTAAAATCGACGGGTTGTCAGGGAAGAAAAAAAAGAGACCTGAGGAAGGAAAGGAGACTTGGTCCTAAAAATAGGGAAGTAAAAAATAAAATAAATAATAAAACAAATAAGTGAAATCAACTCTTTGCCATCAACATAATCGCGACGCAATGGAGATACGTAATTAATAAAATAAATGATATTATCCCAACCGCATTCTATTCCTGTTGGTGCATGTTTTAGTGATGTGCGCGGGTTTGTTCTTCCCTGCTTCGTAAGGTATTTCACCGCCCCCTATTGGATTCCCCGGCGTGGCTGAGCGCATGCGCTACCTACCAGAGCAATATTATTAATTAAATGAGCCTCTGTTACGGAGTACGGAGTACGGAGAAGTGGCTTGGTGCCGACGTCATCGCGCTGGCTCGGTCGATAGCTGCAAAAGGCGAGCAAATATCTACTTCACATGGTTGAACAACTCGATTACAACCCGAAGTGCTGCGTAAATACGTATTTGGCTATGTAAACTATCTGCATATGATATGGCGATAATATAGCATGAGAATCATAAAATAATAAATGCGGAACGTCGCTCTGCCCTCCCCTCCGAGTCCTCCTCCTCTTCCACCTCTTCCTCGCGTCAAGAATGAACCTGGATATTAACTACGGCTTTGAAACAAAACATTTGAGAAACGCTAGAACGCCACACCTGATTGACGATATGAATTAACAGGGGGTCCAACTGAAAGGAAGAAGAAGAAAATATCAAGATATTTAACAGTACCGAGCGCGTCGACAAACAACAGAACAAAAGAGAAGTACCGAAAAATATATTGTCCAAAATGGTTTGAGCCGAATTAGCAGCGGGACCAGCAAGGACAGCTGTCGGGGGCAGCAGCACACTAGTAAATCGGGGCGATAGCCCGTCCCCTCACCTTGGGCTTGCCAAGGGTCTCGTTTGTATCGTCAGTTCTGGAGTTATAACCCCAAATCCACTCAATGTATGTATACCCATACCCGCAAATATATACGTCGCTTTTTTCATGGGTTTAATCGGCATCTGCGACGATTCCCATTCCCTCAACTCACACTCCATCCCAAGTAATTTGACTATCCCGAGGGGAAAACAATAATCCGTGCACCAAATCCTCTGTTTATACACACCCCTCCCTCATTTTTTCCCTCGTTTGACAATCACCAAAATAAAAAACGACAACTAAAATCACAAATCTTTCTTCCCAACCTCGCTGCGCGGACTCTCAGACCCCGCAGAGCTAGCAACCTCCCACCCAAACTCCCCACTCTGCTTCCTCCTCAACCGGCCCCGTTCCTTCATAGCCCCCCGAATCCGCTTGCTAACTTCATCAAAGCTCTCCTTGGAATTCAGCGTGCTGAACGCCTTGAGCGGCATGCCGCTCGAACCGGTAAGGCCGCTGTTCGAACTGCTCCGGCTGCGGCTGCGGTTCCGGCTAGGTGGCCGCGTGGAGAAAAAGCCAATGTTGCTGAGGTCGTGGAACGATTCGTTGCGGGGTAGGTGGCTGGGGACAAAGGTGGTAGTCTCGCCTTTGATTCTCCGTGTGGACGCGTCCGGTTCTTGCCCCATGAGAAGCTGGTTTTCTTTCTTCGATGCTGAAGGCTCCTCGTGCATGAATAGCGATTCTTTGAATGGGTCTGCGACAACTCTCGTGGCGTCGAAATCAGGGAACATTTCCGGACCGAGCGTGTTGATCAGCTCCGTTACTTCATGTGAGAGCTTGGCTCTTCGGTCTCGGAGCTTGACGAATGTGTTGGCGGAGGTGGGGTTGAGGGACAGGACGAGCGGGCGCATGGATTTCAGGATGTCCATGCCGATCTCGCCGATTCGTAATGCTGCAAAGGTAATTGAAGGGAATATCCAACAGCCGAATATCACCACTAGCCAGAGAGGTACCCATTCGGGAACATACCCCTGGATGCGATTCCGATAGGTCCAGTATGTGAGGAGGATTGTGTAGAATGCATAGAGGAGAGGTGCGAAAGCTAATGCAACTAGTAATTTCCACGTAGCCATTACATCGCGGCCCTGAATCTTCACACTAGATGCGGCTAACGCCTCTCTGGATTTCTTGACTGAAATCATTTTGGTCGCTACGAACACTGGTGCGAAGAGCACGAGGCCGGGTAAGGTGCCAATGGACATAATACCCAGTTTTCCAAGGCGGTATATCAAAGTCGAAACCACCTTGATGATGGAGAATTTGGCATATGCTACTTGATGGTCACGTATGCCTAGCAACCACAGCTGTTTATTGTACTCCATGACGGACTTTTTTAGGCTCACAATTCTAGGGTCGTCTTTGTACTGGGCATAGCCCTTCGCCAGACGACGATTCAGCTCTACGACCATAGGGAGCGGAAGCTTCTTTCCTGCCGGGTTGTATAACCGTCTTGCTGCGTGTATCAACTTTAGGTACGTCAGTACAAATGGCTCAACTTTTTCCAATCTTTCCTTCAAGGGCAAGTAGAGATATGAGACGAACCATAAGTGTTTCATAGTCGGGACCAACGACAGTCACCGCAACAAGTGCCTGGTAAATAGTGTTCAACAGTGTTCCTATAGCTTCCCGTCGATTGCCTGCCTTGTACATTTCAACAAGCTCCCGTGGCACTTCAATTGGGTTACCGAATTCCACCACGGCCCTAGAGCGGAACTTATGCGCATGGAAATAGTTCATGCCACAAGGGACGATTTTCACACCGCAGTCGGGGTTCTCTGCCAAGGCCCCAAGTGCCATCAAGGCAACACCAGCTACAGAGATCCATCAGCTTCATACTCCCAAAGAGAAAAAAAAGGGGGGGAGGGGCTTATTAGAAGGATTGAACAATTACCATACCTTTCAATGGAAGTAAGTTAGGCCTGTCATGGCTACCGCCCTCCGGAAAGATGCCGATACATCCTCCAGCATTGAGGGTCTGAAATACCGCTTTATACACGCCCGTCTGATCGACATGTGGAGCAACTTTAAACTTAGACCCTTTGAAGCCTGACAGATCCTGCTCCGCAGCACTGCCAGTAAACTTCAAATCATCTGAGATGTCTGTCCGCCCCGTAAGCTGGTACAGCGCATCCTTGTGCATGAAGGGTTTCTTCAAAATGATCTCATCTGGGCCGCGAATCTCTGCAATATCCGTTGAATGGGCTTCGCCATTTATTGTCGGCAGAGCGATCGTGCCGCCAGGTTCAAATCCTGGGTCGTCAAACTTCGTGCCAACACCCCTTAGTAGTTTCGGATTATTAACAGGGTCTGGTAAGTATATTAATCCCTCGCCAGGTTTCATATTATCCATGGCCCGAGCCACGGGCAACGCGCCCGCAGCTTTTGCTAGCAACCCGACGAATCTCCGCTTGAATGATTTTTCGGCGATGAGGAAGGCTATTCGACGGTTTAGTTCTCTGCGGGCTACGCGCATAAGAATCAACGAATCCACGAACTACATAGATGCAAAGTAAGGGAACAAATTCCGTTAGCAACGCGGATTATATATCCCCGTATATCTTTCCATACGGATCGGTACTTTGTGCAACCGCGTTGGGGGACGTACCTGGTTCGCATGCGGGGCAGCAACGAGGATTATAGGACCACGTTTGGGGACCTTCCATGAACTGCGCGGGTGGACCTCTCTGAAAAACAGGTCGATGAGCACGGCAAGCGACCATAGTACTAAATCGTATAGCCACCCTATTTGGTGGTTAGCGGCCTTCGGAGCCATCCTTCAATCCGGTTTGCTTCTTGCGGCCACCACTATTATCTCATGCAGCAGAAAGCGCGGGAACGCAAACAATCAGGGAGTAAAGATATATTTATTCTGTTCCCCGGAAAACTTGATTGTATATATAGATATATATAGAAGCTGTAGCTTGGTCGGGATGCTCACGCTTAATCGGTGGCACAAGAGACGGGGCAGCGAGATCGCGGGCGGGAGGGATGTTAATGGCAGCGAACAACAGTGAAAATCCGTCAAGGGTAATTAATAATGGTCAAGTAGGGATCCCCTCTCAATGCCTAAGAAGGAGTTAGGTGAACGGGCTTCGTTCAATCAAAGCCTATCTGCGAGCGCCGATATGGATGTTGGGGGGAGGCCGTCCAGGCGGCATAATTCTTGCACAGTAACCAACCGTGAGCCCCGTCGATCGCGATCAGTCAGTAGCTGCTTGTAGAGCTGAAGGGCCGGTAGGCTTCATTCATTCATTCATTCATTCATTCATTCTTCATTATCCAAAGACCGTTGAGCAAGTCTGTCCAGCAGAGCAGAGGCATGAATAACCATGGCAGGATATGGGGATTGTGGGTGCGGCGCTAAAAGAGACACTAACAAGATACAGCTCGATTTCTTGATTCCAACTTGAAGGTTCTAGAACATCCCGTGGAGAGGGAGAGGGAGAGACAAGACGATCCGAGAAATTGATTTCAATATTTTTGATGTGAGCTGAGAGTTTCAACAGTCAGGTACAAGCAGAGTTCGCATATCTATTTCTTGACTTGTTTGCTAAATAATACTGTGTACAGAGTACATAGCATGCAGATAGGCTACGGGTAATTGTGAATAGTACAGTTGGAGAAGGTGAAAGTTAAATAACAGGCTGTTTGACAATAACTAATGTATTACAACAAGTAACTCCGGAGTAGTTGCATTCAGTTGAGGCAGCAGGATTTGTAGCAGTCGCCACCTTGAGAGAGTGTTGCCACAGCAATCGAATCGCCTCACCTGCACATGATTCACACATAATCTAGCATCTTGCAGATTATAGTTATTTAATAGTTGTATTTCTATATTTTTAAGAATCTGAAATGTTTGAATTTTAATTTTTTTTTAATTTTAACCTGATTAAATTTGATATTATCTCTCTATATATTAAAGAAAAACCAACTTTTCCATGTAAAAATCACTGTAATATGACATCACGTGCATCTTATTAAAAATGTTAAGAGTTCTGATTATCTCAGTAAACTCAGTCACTTCACTCTGAGCTAACTCAATCTGAACTACTGCTACTTTCTGTCAAGTTCTGCTAATATCTGAGTCAATCAACTATCACAGAGCTTATACTAAATCTAAATAGAATATTCTTAGTAAACTCTTCACAGAGTATCTAAGAAAAAATAATTTCTATTTATTAATAATATAGAAATAATTTACTTTAATTATAATATTTAAAATAGAATCACTGTATAATATCACTTATAAATTATTTCTGTAAGAGGCCTACGCTGAATAGATTGATATAATATTGATAGGTCTTATATAACAAAGATAAAAATGTTAGAGAA